TAATAGAAGAATTATTATGAAAAATAAACACAACCCCGCTTAGCAGGACGGGGTTGGCCACTACTGGGCTGGAGTCCCTGTTGACAGGATTTTTAAGTTTTCTGAAACAACATGTGCTGCTGCGCTAGCACTGTGGGTTTATTGTCTGCTTAGTTTTGCTTCTGTATTAACAACCCTTCCAAATGCCAGAAGACAAATAACTCCCAGCCAGGAGGGAGCTGAGCACAATGTGTCTTCTCATGGCAGGGCTGGTGGGGCACATACCTTTCCCCTCCGTGAGTTCAGCTGTGCGCCCGGGTGTGTAAGTTGGCGGGGTGGGTAGAAATGCGAATGGAGCCGCTGGAATGGGGACGGGAGCAGTCACCTCTGGGCTGGGCACGGAGATCTGCTCTTGCCGAGCAAGCAAGTTTGGGTGGTGGTGTCCGGGTGGCGAGATGGAAGTGGTTGAAGATGCTGTCATCAGGCACCGGTGACACCGAGGGGTGATGGAGATTTGCAGGTTACTGAGCACACGATACTCTAACCCCTGAGAAACCATCAGCTCTCCCATCCCAAGCTCTCCTCCATGCCCCAGGCAGGATGGGATGGGATGGAATGGAATGGGAAGGGATGGGATAGGATTGGATGGGAAGGGATGGGATGGAATAGGATGGGATGGGACGGGACGGGAAGGGATAGGATGGGATGGGAAGGAATGGGAACGGAAAGGAAGGAAAGGGAGTGGAAGGGAAGGGATGGGATGGGATATGAGAAAGGGATGGGGTAGGATGGGAAGGGGAGGCTGCTTTCTCCATGTGTCTGTGATGACTCAGGTTGAAAGTGTGAGCGTTGTTCCTGTTGCACAGCTAAACACGTGGCTGCACTCTGATGGGCTGGCCGTCTCCACCTTCTCACTGATGCTGTGTTCACACTGCTGAAAATTTGGAAAATGAAAAACACCTCTCCAGCAGTTGCACGGCAGCACCTTAAAATAGAGGCGTGCTGGTGTGTCACATATCCCCCATCACATCTCACCTGGTGAGATGATGCTGGCCAGGTGCTGGGGTTGGGAATGGATCCTGCTGCAGCATGAGCGATGGAAGTGGGGAGAATTCAGCTGTCCTTGTGCAAAACCAACCAAAACAAGCAGCTCCCCCAGCAGCTGTATGCATGTGCCTTGCTGGGCTGAGAGGTGCCTGTGGTTCAGTGGCAGGGACATTGAGGTCAGATCTGCTCATGGTTCCTGAGATGAGGCTGCTGGAGGAAATCCTTGTGCCTCAGTTTCCTGTCTCTAAAGCAAGGTTAGCACTTTCAGCTGTAGCTTTTTGAAACAAAAGTGGTCTTTCAGTAGGTGTGTAGGCAAGACCTGACACAGTGGGTGGCAGAGCCTGGTTGGAGGACTTTTGGGTATGGAGCAAGGGTGGATACACTCCGCTCTTACTGCGGTGGGGGTTACCAGGATCAGTCCACAGAAGAAGAGGTTGCCCCATTGCATGCAGGACTGATAAAAGGGCCAGAGGTGTCTCCTTACCCTGCTGGGGATGCATGTTGGATGCTAGCAGTGATGCAATGCTGTCCAAGAGTTCCAGGAAAGCTCTCCAGGAGTTACCGGCACATCTTGTGGTCAGCCAGGACCTGTGGCAAGGAAGGACAACCTCCCCTTGCTGTGGGTCCGTGGCAGAAGCTCGGGGCATCGCTGCAGTCAGTTTGTGCCATTTGGTGCCCTATCTTCATCCCAGTGCCAGATACTCTGTTGAGGACCCGGGGGGTGGGTTTGCTTGTTTGCTGCCCTTCATTTTCCAGCTCTTGCTAGAGAGTTTGCAAGATGTTTTGTTAATTTGGGAAGGGATAAATGTGTTTGGGTGGAGGCTCTGCCACAGCCAGGCTGCCTGATACTGCGTGACTATCGTAGATGTATCAGAGATGCAGGGGCCAAATCTAAGGCCTGGCCCTGGATTTCTGTGTCGGGGCTGTTCAGCTGCGTTGTTGAACTTTGGAGAAAGGGTTTTTCTCAAAGCCAGTGCCTGGATCTCTCAGGCTTTTGGGAGTGTCCATTTGAGGCAAGCAGGGCTGGCAATCAACGGTGCCAGCTTCGGTTCGTCTCGACTCACTTAATGGAATTTATAATCAATTTTCTTAACAGCCTTGGGTCTGAATGGCCTCCTAAGGACTTGAATTCTGCAAGTGCCAATTCTGCGAGTGCCTTAGGAAGAACAAAGACTTGTCATTCTCCTAGCAGCTTCCTTTGCAAAGAAAAAAACAAGCCGCCTTCTCCCAGCTGTGACTATACAATGAACAAAAAACCAAGGTGCAAAACATTTTGTACCAAATCTTGTCGTTAATGATATTGGTAGAAATGACAGGCTTTGAATAGATATAAAAGTGGGCTGTTAGGACCCAGAAGGATGCAGCTGGTGCCTCGTACAATGGAAAATAAGCCGGCTGGCAGCAGGCTAGCCGTGGGGTTACCGATGAGAAATGAAAGATGGTATCAGCTTCCTTCAGTGTTTCCCTATCAGCTGCTGCAGATGGACATATGGAGTTTAACCACCTCTAGATAATGCGGAGGTTAAATAGACTTTTCTCTTAGAGGAGAGCATTCCTCAAATTGCAATTACGCCTGGGAAGGAACAAAGGCTCGTATCAGTTGGATATTTCTGCAGCGGGGATATTTGCATCTGATTTTAATGCACGCAGCTCTGTAAGAGAGTCTGGTTGGGAGCTGAAGGCGTCTGGGGGAAGACTCAGGGAAATCTGTGAGGTTTTCTGCTTTCTGGAAAACATCTCCATGCTTGTCACATAACATCCCCCCTACCCCCCCC